ATGCGCAAATCGGCGCTGCGTCAGATGACGGACAAGGCGCGTGAATTTGGCGCCGGGCCGCTATTCAATCAAATCCTACCGCTGCTCATGTCACCGACGCTGGAGGATCAGGAACGGCATTTGCTGGTGAAAGTCATCGATCGTGTGCTGTACAAACTGGATGATCTGGTGCGTCCATTTGTGCACAAGATATTGGTGGTCATTGAGCCGCTACTCATCGATGAGGATTACTATGCGCGCATCGAGGGTCGGGAGATTATATCGAATCTGGCAAAGGCAGCCGGTTTGGCCACCATGATCTCCACCATGCGTCCGGATATTGATAATATTGATGAGTACGTCAGAAATACGACAGCGCGTGCCTTTGCCGTGGTCGCCTCCGCCTTGGGCATACCCTCGCTGTTGCCCTTCCTGAAGGCCGTGTGCAAGTCCAAGAAATCCTGGCAAGCGCGCCACACAGGCATCAAGATTGTGCAACAGATTGCCATACTGATGGGCTGCGCCATATTGCCCCATCTGAAGGCGCTGGTGGAGATCATTGAGCACGGCTTGGTCGATGAGCAGCAAAAGGTGCGCACCATTACAGCGCTGGCCATCGCAGCCTTGGCCGAGGCGGCCACACCCTATGGCATTGAATCCTTCGACTCGGTGCTCAAGCCGCTCTGGAAGGGCATACGGACGCATCGTGGCAAGGGCCTGGCCGCGTTCCTCAAGGCCATTGGCTATCTCATACCGCTGATGGATGCCGAGTATGCCAACTACTATACACGTGAGGTCATGCTGATTCTCATACGTGAATTCCAGTCGCCCGATGAGGAGATGAAGAAGATTGTCCTCAAGGTCGTAAAACAATGTTGCGCCACGGATGGTGTGGAGCCGCAGTATATCAAGGAGGAGATATTGCCGCACTTTTTCAAGTTCTTTTGGAATCATCGCATGGCACTGGACAGACGCAACTATCGCCAGCTGGTCGATACCACCGTGGAGATCGCTAACAAGGTGGGCACCTCGGAGATTATCAATCGTGTCGTGGACGATCTGAAAGATGAGAATGAACAGTATCGCAAAATGGTCATGGAAACGGTGGAGAAAATTATGGGCAATCTGGGCGCAGCGGATATTGATTCGCGCCTCGAGGAGCAGCTGATTGATGGCATACTGTATGCCTTCCAGGAGCAGACCACCGAGGATGTAGTCATGCTGAACGGATTCGGCACCATTGTTAATCAGCTGGGCAAACGTGTCAAGCCCTATTTGCCACAGATTTGCGGCACCATACTCTGGCGTCTGAACAACAAATCCGCCAAGGTGCGTCAACAGGCGGCGGATCTGATCTCGCGCATTGCCGTGGTCATGAAGACCTGCCAGGAGGAGAAGCTGATGGGCCATTTGGGCGTTGTGCTCTACGAGTATTTGGGCGAGGAGTATCCGGAGGTGTTGGGCAGCATATTGGGTGCGCTCAAGGCTATTGTAAATGTCATTGGCATGACCAAGATGACGCCGCCCATCAAAGATCTGTTGCCCCGCCTTACGCCTATATTGAAGAACCGGCACGAGAAGGTGCAGGAGAACTGCATTGATCTGGTGGGTCGCATTGCTGATCGCGGACCGGAATATGTGTCCGCCCGTGAATGGATGCGCATCTGCTTTGAATTGCTGGAGCTGCTCAAGGCGCACAAGAAGGCCATACGGCGCGCCACGGTGAATACATTTGGCTACATAGCCAAGGCAATTGGTCCGCACGATGTGCTGGCCACGCTTTTGAATAACCTAAAGGTACAGGAGCGTCAGAATCGTGTCTGCACCACCGTCGCCATTGCCATTGTCGCCGAGACATGTCGTCCGTTCACCGTGCTCCCAGCGCTGATGAATGAGTACCGTGTGCCGGAGCTGAATGTACAGAATGGCGTACTGAAATCTCTATCCTTTCTGTTCGAGTACATTGGCGAAATGGGCAAGGACTATATCTATGCGGTGTGCCCGCTGCTCGAGGATGCGCTAATGGATCGCGATCTAGTGCATCGCCAGACGGCCTGTTCGGCCATCAAGCACATGTCGCTGGGCGTCTATGGATTTGGCTGCGAGGACGCACTCACGCATCTGCTCAATTATGTGTGGCCCAACATATTTGAGACATCGCCGCATCTGGTGCAGGCCTTCATGGACTCGGTGGATGGACTGCGTGTCTCGTTGGGCTCCATCAAGATTCTGCAATACACGCTCCAGGGTCTGTTCCATCCGGCGCGTAAGGTGCGCGATGTCTACTGGAAGATTTACAATTCGCTGTATATTGGCGGCCAGGATGCGCTCATTGCAGGGTATCCACGCATCACCAACGATCCCAAGAACCAGTACGAGCGCTACGAGCTGGACTATACGCTTTAAGCAGCCTCCATCTCCAGTACACCCCTCAATAGCCCTTAATTATATTGTAATTTTGATAAGATGAATACACAAATATAGCGCGAATGTACAAAACGAGTATTTATTCTACATTTTTAGAGTAGCTGAGCGAGACGAGTAACTACTGTGGACCAGAGCTGTAATTTATAATTAGTGGGAAATACATTTTAATTACCAGCAATTACATTGACAATTGTATTGTAATGATGCATAAGCTCTTGTAGTCATTACATACCTTTAATTACTAAGCAACTATTATCATTAGATTACACAATTACTTTTTAATTACCAGCAGTTACATTGACAATTGATTTTAAATTACACACAGTTTACCTTTAGCATACAAAATATTTTTAGAGACCGTGTTAAAGCAAATTTTGAGCTAGCAGTTTTTAATTACCAAGGAATTATCATATGAAATTAATCAATTACATGTGAATTACCTTTGTAATTTGCTGAGAAATCATCATTGCCGAGTAAATAATAGTTTTACCCAAGTCAATTGCTTGTTAATTAAGGGATAATACATTGACAATTACTTCTGTAATGATACTTGATTTAAGACAATTACTGAACAGTTATTTGGTTTGCTAATAAATAGTTATTAGAATTTATATCTTTAAGGTAATATTTTAAAACTTAGTGCTTGCATAAAATAATATTTTTTGACATTTGGAAAAGTAATTGAGCTATTTTTCGTTTCTTGTTTTATGTCTGTAATTATTACCTTTACTGAAATAATATTTAATTACCAGCAATTAAACATGGATCATTGTTTCATTGAATTCATAATAATTTTTAATACCATTTAAATATATGTTCCTAGTTTCTTCACAATGTAATGGTAATTAAAAAATAATTACTATGTAATTACCTATGGCGGAATTGGATTCGTTTTTAAATTCCTATTAAATGCATTTAATTTCCAGCAATTATAATTACATGGGAATCCGAACGAAGGAATCGCATTGGTAAATAAAGTTGAATCAACTTGTCTTCCGTTGCTGTTAATTACTTGTTTGAAATACTTTTTAATTACAAATTTAGTTATCTGAGTACACTTTTGGCTTAATTACTGAGCAATTGTATAAGTAATTAAACCTGTTTAACCAAGTAATTATATATATATATATATATTGAAAATTGTCTTTTGTTTTCATTCTATGTAATTACAGCTCAGCTGCGAATTAATCTTTTGGCTTAGCATTAATACAAGTATGTGTGTTGGACCAGCTGGAAGAGGAGTCCGTGGATGCCTGCTATCGGTGGAGCATTGTCTCGACGATATCGATGAGGCTCTGCAACCCAAACATATAGTTATGATCGGGCTGCGCATCCTCGGCCGGGAAGATGTGTGCGAAATCTATGCAACGCACGCGTATCCATTGATTCGCAGTGGTGGGCAGGGCGGGATCCGGATGATAGCCATTGCTCAGCTGCTTGGAGCTGCTGCCGCCTTTGGCTAATCTTTGCAGCTGCTCAAAGTCGTAGCAGATGAGCAGGGAGCTGGCATAGAAGTGCAACAGACGCTGTCGCTTGAACCAGGCACGTATGGAGCGCAGTTGACACAGCACCTCGCGCAGCAGGACATCGCTGGCCTGACAGTTGACATTGAAGAACTGGGCCAATGCCTTGTGGAAGCCCGCCACATCCAGGCTCTTGCCATAGTCCCGGCCCTGACGAATGAGCACACTTTGGCCGGGCTGCTGCTCATCCGGTTGGTACACCTGAAAGCCAGGCAGGCACAGACCCAGATTCTGTTTGCATACGACATACTTTTGTTCCTCAATCTCGCGCTTATGTGCCGATGACAATGGGTCCCAGGTGCGGCGGCCAATTTTCACATCCATGACGCACGGTCTGGCCATGCCGTGCGTCAGATCCTCCAGCTTGATAAATGTGTGCTCGCGCTGATTTACAACCAGTTTCAGTTGACCATAGTAGCGGGGAACGTGCGCCGCCAGGTCGGCCAGCAGTGAGAGGTCCGTTTCGCTGTGCCCCTCACCACCGCCAGCGGTGCCGTTCAGGTTCAGGTTATTGGCAGCGGGGGGCGATGCACCTGCTTGTGTCGCAATTGCCGCCGCCAGTGACTCATAGAAATTGAGTTCACGCACGCCGCACTCCGGTTTGCCCAAAGGCTTGAAAACGCGGCCTTCGCCCGCATCTTGGAGCAGTCCGACCGCGGCCGCGTTTGTCGCCTCGAATGTGTGACCGGCCACCTGGGTGTCCAGCATGCAGTAGCCCATGGGCACCATGGGCATAGCTGTTACCTTTTCTTGTTCCTTTTTGGCCATGTTCAGTCTGTCTGGCACTCAAAATCAAAAGCAGCAACAACTGCAACAGCAAAAAACAGCGCAAAAATCGGAGCAGTGTTGTGAAGTGCAGCACGGATATTAATAGCGGTTTTTATGGCAAATGGCAATTAAAGCTAAAAGGTAAGCTACTAATTATTAAAAGTTTTCTAAATTTATTTTAAGCGTTTGCAAGAGTGTTAACTGTTAATATGCAGCCATTTATTTATGGCGGCATTTTATGAAATACAGTGTTGCAAATGCTGCGCAGCAACTTGTTGTGCACTAATCGTTATCGGCCAACGTCTATCGTTATCGGTCGCTGCAAATGTGTAGGAGTGGTTGTCGTGTTGTTGGTATTTCATCCAATTAAGACGTTTATTTACAAAATTTGTGTTTGTTTTGCTTTTTGTTAACTGAGCTCGCAGTATTTATCGCCAGCTGCACCATGAAATCCTGGCAAGTAGCTGTGCTGGCCCTAGCGGCCGTCTATCTGTGCAGTCAGGGTAAGTATTTGGCCACACCTTAAAAAAAAAAAATAAAACAAACTCATGACACATGTGGAAACCATTTGCAGTGCATTTTGTCCAGGGACTCGAGTGCTATGTGTGCTCCAACCAGACGGGCAACACGGAGAAATGCCTCAACACAATCAAAACCTGCGAACCGTTCGAGAATGTGTGCGGCACCGAGATACGCTGGGGCAGCCAGCCCTACTTCTCCGAGGGCGCGCTCAAGCAATATTATGTGTCCAAACGCTGCATGACCAAGGAACAGTGCCAGTCGAAGCGTCGGCGCTATATGCAGATGTACTGCACCCACATCTGGTATGAGGATTGGGCGTGCAACGAGTGCTGCCAGGGCGACAGATGCAACTATTTTGTTATCGTAAGTGGGCGTTGTCCCCAATCTGACTGTTATTATTATTCCTTATTATCTGTACGCTAACTAATATGTAATCTCTTGCAGAGCGGCGCGACGGGTCAACAGAGCCACACGCTGTTGCTGATAGCTGCACTGCTGGGCGTCGGACTGCTCATAAGGCGTGGCATACTGCCCTAGGCAATGCACTTTTATTTTGCCCTTCTAATACGCACATTCACATTCCAACGAAGCTAAGTAATTTTAATTGTATTCGTAATTGTATTCATTTCGTATTGTCCACTAGTTAGTAGTTATCACTGTATGCCGTCCATTGTGTGTAGTTCGTCCAAGTGCCTTGACAAGCAGTTACAACTTAGGCCTGTTAAAGTTTTAGTCTAGTTTTTGTTTAAAATTCAAACTGAAAGCTTAAAGTTTAATTTCTGTTCAAAGTTTTAGAGATTTCATTCAGCTTATCATATATTAAAAGACATATCAGTTTTATTTATCAATTTAGCGCTAGAAAGTGAAAGCCCCTTTTATATTTGTGATTTGTCTAGAAACTCGTTAAGGTATCTCATGATTCAGTAAGTTTTTATGCTCCTTACACGAATGAGAAGTGGGTATATTAGTTGCGTACCATTTACGTCTGTCTGTTCTTTTTAAACTATTTGAATTTGGAGACTTTCAACTTTGAATATACTGTAAACGCTGCCAAGAAAATATTCTGCTAACAGATATATCTTAAAAAAAAGGACAAAAATGGGGGGAAAGGAATTGACAGCTTCATAGAGTTGTTTACCAAAAGGAGTCTAATTGTGTTATTTTAAAAAATAACCAGTCCGTAATCATCAAAGTTTCAAGAGAGCACGAGCTTTATGTAATAGAAGACAGACATATAATAGAAGACATCTTGAGATAAGCTTATGACATCCTTGCAGCCTATTCAAAAAATATGCGCTAAAACTTTAACGTGGCCTTCTTAGCTTTAGTAATTGTACTCGAATCGAATGAGAAATTCTCGAAAATCTTTTTGAAAAGCCCCCTTTTGGGTCTCCAAAACAGCTCAATAAAGCAGCAATGACGTTTTCTTTGAACGCTCTATTGTGCAATTTTATATATGTATATATGTATATTTTATAGATCTTTAAATTTGTATAAGTTTTGGCTAGTTTGTGCAGAAGCAGCCGGCTGTGACGGTGACCGTCTCAAATTGCCACTGCCAGAGCTCGGTCAGCTCCTCGGGCAGCCAGAGACGCGCCGATGTTGCAGCCGTATTGCCGGATGGTTTCGGTCCCAGGGTTAACACCTTAACCTTGTACTCCAGCGGCTTGCAGTTGGAGCCTTGCGTGCACTTGGCATCCAGCGCTGGACGCGATTCACAGATGGCGCTCATGAGATAACGTGGAAAATATGTGCTGCCCAGATCTATTAGATCGTTCTGTGTACAAGAATTAAATAAATATGGAGCCTGAGTTGGGTTGAGCTTGTGGACGCACCATAACTTTGCAATCACAGCCGGCGGCGTGTGCACCATTGCGCTTGCTGGTCAGCAGATCCTCGTAGAAGTCGTTGTAGTGCATCGGCGGCAGTTGGTAAGGCGCCAGAGCTGCCTCCGTCGGCCGCACTGGGGCGGGCGTGCTCGCTGGCCGCCCAAAGAGCGCATTCAGCATTTTGGATGTGCCCTCATCAGCATTCGCATCGACTGCATCCAACTGATTTCCATCGCCGCCGTCGCCGCAGTCCAGAAAGCGACTGCAGCGCTTGGGCATCGCCCGGGCGAGCATTGGAGCCGTCAGTTCGTCGTAGGCGGCAAACCGATTGCTGCTGACAACGCAGCGCAGCGCCAGCGCCGCTAGCAAAGTGGCCATCTAGAAGGAAATTAAAATACACTGAGAGAAACAGCTCGCATTTATGGAACTTATTCTCAGAGAAACAGGACGCATTTATTGTCGATTCCCGAATAATCTTCAAGTATGTATTCTGCTTTGATTTAAATGATAAGTACAAATATGTTTGAGCAATAATTCGCATACTCAAAAGGAGTATAAAATGTATACCCCGAACCCATTTAAAACGGGTAAAAAGGGTATAATGTATTTGTGGGCATGTTTGTAACAGGCAGAAGGAAGCATCTCTGACCACATAAAGTATATATATTCCTGATCAGCATCACAAGCCGAGTCGATCGAGTCATATCCGTCTGTCTGCCCGTCTGTCCGTCCGTTCGTCCGTCCGTCCGTCCGTCCGTCTGTCCGTCTATCTGTCCGACCGTCCATCCGTCCGTATATATGACCGCAAGGATCTCCCCACCTATAAGAGACTTGAAATGTTAAATGTAGATGCTCCTAGTGCACGCGCAATACAAGTTTGACTCCGATATTCGATAGCTTGTACCGTTTCCAAGTAATCGATTAAAATCGAACTCGATATCTTGTCTATTGAGAAAATCTCGCGTGCTATAAGAGCTAGAGTCACCAAACTTGACTTCTAGCTCCTAGAACATTATTATTATTGGACTTTCTTAAATGAAGTATGAATCTGTTTTGATTTACAAGAATTTTCATACTTAAAGTAAGCGTAAAACATTTTTTGAATTAGCAAAAGCCCGTGTAGGACTTATTTAAAAGAATTTTTGAATGCGAAAAACTTCTTGATTTAGTTTAAGAACATTTCACCAATACTCATGCTGGATTTCACCACACTTAATATGCACTTAATATTTCAATTTTTTTTTTATTCTGAGCCTGCTTTAATTAAGTATAAAAATACTTGATATAAGTATTTGCATACTTAAAATGAGCGTTAAACGTTTTTATTTTAAGTACGACATTTCTTATATGCAGGATTTTGTTTGAATATTGTTTTGGGGAATTTGTAGTTGATTGAATTAAGATTTGTCAAGCTTAGTTTAAGTGAATGGAAACTTGGAACAGATTTTCAACCGTTTTGTGTTTGATTTGAGTGTAAAATGTTGTTGTTGTTTTTCACCGAATTGATATATTTGCCGTGTTGGACTCACCCATGGCATGGCTTGAACCGTGCTGCTGCAGAGTTTGGCTACTTTTGCGGCTCTGTCGTGCAAGGTGGGGCGTTTATATAGCCGCTGGCCGGCACAGCCGAACAATGGGCACCAAGCGCTCGGATTACCTATTGTGTGCGGCTGGCGTGTCCATTATGGCCCGTCACCTGGACAGTAAGAGCAGCAACAGCAACAGCAGCAGCAGTAGCAGCGGGCGCCAAACAAAGAGCTCAACTGTTGACACAATACAACAATGGTTGGCGACGGGGCGAACCTCAAGTATCAGGAACTCCGAGGACTGACTATTTATAGACTGGACACTGGCTTAAAGCCCGGCTACTTGAAGTGTTTATGCGTGTGCCGAAAAAAGTCAAAATGGAGAAAAGAAAATTAAAAACAAGAAGTGGAAAACCCAGTGACCCAGACATTTGCAGCGGGCGGCCAAACCACCCAGGCTAGGAGCAACTATGAGCTCATGGGCTGCTTGTCTAGCACTAAAATTCAGGTGCATTTGCTGCTGCTGGCCCCAAGGGGTAGGTGCTTTGTGTGTGTGTGTGTGTGTGTGCGTGTGTGCGTGTGTGGCAGCTAGTTGTAGGGCTTCGACGTGACGATAAACTCGCGCAAACGCCAATCCGCCCAGCGGTTCGTCAGTTGAATGCGCGTCGTTGCCCCGCACGGTGGGGCGCTGATATATATACTATATATCTAAAGACTAACAATACAGTTTGAGAAGCACAACAGCCAGACACGTGCCGCTAAAACTGTGGCTTAACAAGGAGTTACAAGCCAGGACGTCCGCTCTGCTTCTATTTTTTGTTGTTTTCAATCAAACTCGGGAGCAGCTCGAGCTGCTGTTCTTGGAGCGCGTACAGTTATCCGCTTGACTTGGTGCGGACGCAGTGGCGGAAGCCCTAGGAGTGTTGCCCCACGTTGTTGTTGCTGTCGCTGGAAATCGTTAAAAACAGTAGAGAATAGAAAATAGCGAAAAGCTAGCGAGTATGTCACGAATTGTGTAAAGAACAGGAAACCAAAAGACAAACACCTGAAACACACACCTGGCGCCTGGACGCAGGATTTAGGCTAGACGCATGGACAAAGGCACAATGAAGCGCAAGCAGCGTAGATACAGGTGAGCTACAGTAAACACCAGCTAGAGCGGACCTGCCTAGTCGTTTGCTTAGTTTAAGCTGAGCAGCAAGTGGAAGGATACGGGCTTAAATCTTCTACCTACTCCATTCACGTCCAGAACCACCTTCAACACCCTGCAGCTGCAGGAGCTGGAGCGCGCCTTCCAGCGCACGCATTATCCGGACGTGTTCTTTCGCGAGGAGCTGGCCGTGCGCATTGAGCTGACGGAGGCGCGCGTTCAGGTCTGGTTCCAGAATCGACGCGCCAAATGGCGCAAACAGGAGAAGCTGGGCACCGCCGGCGACTACAAGGAGGACGCCCAACTCGAGTTGGATGTGGCTTTCGATGATAGCGCTGTGCTGGGTCAGCTGGACAGCGCCTTGGGTGAGTGGGTTAGAGGGAGTAGGGCAAAGATCTGGTCAGGCTTAATACGGAGCTCTTGCAGCTGGCGGCGGCACCTTGCTGCCGGATACGCCGCCGCAGTCTTCCAATTCGCTGGATAATGAGCTGAAGGCGCCCTACGGTACGGGCGGGCTTTCGCCCTCCAGGCTCTCGCCTAACATTTTTCTCAATCTGAACATTGATCATCTGGGCCTGGAGCGCGGCGGCAGCGGTCTGTCCATGGAGTGGTCCACCTACCCGCCGTCCACACAGCCGGAGCAGCATCAGCCGGAGCAGCAGCAACAGTTGCAGGCGTCGCAGCAGCAACAGTTGCAGGAGTCGCAGCAGCAACACGTCTGCACGCTGCAGCATCAAGCGCTGGCGAGCGCATTTGGCGCCTCACTCGATCTGGACATGAACGAGGGCTACGATGAGATGAAGTTTCTCAGTGTGGATCAGTTTACGATCGATAGCTTCAAGGCGGACTGCATACTCAGCATGGAGCACAGCCTGGCGCTGGATGACAAGCAGCATGAAGCCCCCGCCGCCTCCGCCTGCCACTCTGCTGCCTATGAGGTTCCGTCTCTGGCCACGGACAATGCTGCACTGCATTCGCTTTGCTTGGACGGCATGAGTCTCGCGCCCAACTTTGGCGGCCTCTCACTCCTATCCGGCCATCTGACGGACGATGTCACGTCTGGGGAGGCGTCACCCAAGTCGCCGCCATCGCTGCTGGTGCTGGACAAGACGCTGCCCTCGCTGAGTATCGGGGTGGATGGCATCAGTGAACTGGTCGAGCAGCTGCATCATCATCAACATCAGCTCAATCACCATCATCATCATCAACATCATCATCATCATCATCATCATCCACACGATGTCGGGGTTGGGGGAAGCGATGTAGTCTAACCGGAACATTTTTATTAACCTAGACAAATTCTAAGCATAGTTAATGTTGTACGATTCTAGCTGTAATCCTGGCTCATACTCTTACTGGGCCTCATGCTCTTTTCGAAATGGATGGGATTTGACGTAAGTTCACCTAAATAAATGGCCAACAAGTTGTTAATGCGAATGGAATTGGATACGTAAATGTTATTATTAGAATGGAGAATGGAGCTCTATAAATGGAAACGATTTCTGGTTCTTGTTTGAGAAGAGTATACAAATTTTGTTTGATATATGAAAATATTTTCTATCTCATAAAAAAACTTGATTTAAAAAAAAAATGTTTCTCTTTTATGAGCAAAATTTTGCTCTTTAGAAAAAATGATTTCTACAATTTTGTAGTGAAATAGGATTATTTTTTGGAATTATTTTTTGCTTGGTCCAATTTTGAAAGGCAAATTTCTTAACTTTAGGTTCATTTGAAAAGAGTATTCAAGACTTCGGTCCTTATCGAAGTTTCGCCTAATTTCTTGCCTTTAGTTAATCTAATACGATCTTAGCCTTATATAATCTTTATTATGTAAGATATTATATATATAGAAAGAATAAGGTTCAGTTTAGTAGACCTCTTTCATAATAATCACTGAGAAGAGTATCCTATCTTCGGTTTATATCGAAGTTTTTCCAAGCTTGGCGAATACTAAATATAGTCAATGTTATGCGATTGTAGCTATAATTTGCACATTTTAATACATCCCTTGGGAGACTTATGTGTGCCTAGATCTGATATTTTGTCTATCTATGATGGGAAATATCTTTCAAGAGATTGGAATAGCCCGAAAGAAAGATTTAGATTGATTTGATGGTGGAATGGATAGAACTTGGCTTACAGGGTTTTCCACTCGGTAAATAACTTTCAGGAGACTTTTTTTTCGATTTAATAATCCCGATTCAATAATCGCTCCAAGCTCCGAGTAGATGAAGGCCGGACCCAATTCTCCTCCATTAGACGGACACTTAGTTCTTTTTTGTGCTGTGCATTTTGTTTTAAAGATTATCAGAAAGTTTTGAACGTAATGCGTGTGTTTTCATGAAAACAGCAAAACTGAAGCCATGTCCTTGCTCCCACTCTCTCTCCCCCTCCATCTCTCTCTCTCTCTCTTTTCTCTCTCTTTCGCTCAAGGTTCTGCCATTCCTTGAGCTGTTAGCCTGCCCAGCTACTGCTTCTAAGGATTCACATGCAGGCACACGCATGTATGTCATAACAAAGGACACCCTGCCCCTGCCCCTGCCCCCAGACTCCTCTCGTCAGTCAACAATTTTTGGTAGTATTTGTGGCTCGGATTAGAGCCAAACTAATTGTATGATTTTGTATGTTGAATGGTTTTCGGGTTTCTCGGCTTGTTTGTTCGCAAATAATATTTGCTTTCTCTCCAACAATTGCAGCGACGCGTTGTGGCACGCCGCGGGCGCAATCTGCATCCTACCGACTCCTCTCCCCCGCCCCCTTTCTCTCTCTCTCCCTCTCTCTCTCTCTCTCTGTCTGCCAGTCATCCGCAGAGTAATTTCCATTTAGCGTCATTAGCGGAATGTCTGTATCCTCAGTCATAAGCTGCATTGAAGGTCTAAGCCGGCCAAGCCTTTGGGGTCGCCAGTCGCGAGCTTTGGGCTAAGCCCAGCGTCGCGATTCCAGCTCCCGGGCAGGAACTCGGCATTAACACCTCTTTGTTAAGTTCTCTTTGTGGATTTGCCACGGCAGCCAACAGATTTCAGCTTTCGGCCAGCCATTTGCCGCTGTAGTTGATGCACTCAGCGGGCAGCAGGATCACAATTTTCATAACCGAAACCCAATGTGTAAAAAGGGTTTCATATTTTCGAGCAAATGGAAAGGGTAGTTTTTACATTTATCAATTTTTTTCCGATATTTCCAACAAATTTTTTAATATCGATAAATATCGATTTAAAGAAATGGTTTTTGAGGCATAACTCGAAGATTATTGAAGCTAAATACTTCAATTCTGTAGCTTATTGTAGGGTATATATAGCCTGAGAATTTTTCACACGCCTCCTACATATCCTGTAAATTTAGAAAGATCTCGCTTTTAAAGGCAGATCGTTGCGCTTTGTTATGCACACAACTCTCTGTGCCATGTTTAAGTCCTGATAAAGTCATATAGATTCTAATATAAACACCCAAGTTATCAGGAACAGGGTATGTCTCTGCCGGGCATGCCCGACTAAGGAGAGCCTTGCGAGCTAGAGCTCTGTTATAAACACAGTCCTCTATGCTATATTTAAGTCCCTGCTAAAGTCATATAGAACGTACTCTCAACACCCTTGTAAACCTTGGAACAGGGTATGTCTCTCCCGGGTACGCCTGACTTGAGCATACTTATTTGTTATTAATCCACTGGCGACTGGTTGCCATTGGATAAGCCGCACAACAATGTGACGCAACGAAGCGCAATTGTCGCCAGGCAGGGTTAGGGCTTGGGCAGGGGTTGGTCCCGACTCTGATCCCATTCCGTGGCCCAGTCGGGCGTAGATCGAACCCTTTGCCGTGGGTTTTGGGCTCATTGCGGACCTGTCAGACAGTGCACACATGATTTGAAATTAATCGAAAATGTTTCGTGCATGTTTAAAGGATACTTCGCAGCACTTTGAGCACTCGAGGCTGTGTATGCACAAGGACCACAAACTTTAATCGATAGTCAAATAAGCCAAGTCTGGCCCACCTGCCTGCCTGTGTGTGTGTATGTGTGTGTGTGTGTGCGTGTGTCGCCGGCAAGGATAACAGGGACAATGAATATATAACGTTTGCCACATTGTTTCCTTATGCTACTGCGCTCGCTCTGCTTTTGTAATTTCTCTAACGTTTGTTTATATTTTATATTGAATTCGCCTCGGGCCGCATAAACGCAATAATCGCACATTTTATGGATTAAACTCACCTGCTCGCCAGCTAATCTATTAAAATTTTAGCCCCAGGACAATGAAGTCTGCTTTTGTGCGTTCGGCTCTAATTGGAGTTTTTCTCTTTCGACTCTTTTGGCTCTCAACAGTTCGCTCGAATGAAGTGCGTTAGAAAATTGGAAATCCAAAAAAAGCAAACGAATCCTTTACACACTTTGAGCATTAGGTTCTGTTCCATGTACAACCAGTAAGTGCGTGATCAATCATTTCTCACATCTGATTGATTTATAAACTTACTGACAGACTGATTGATAAAATGATTGACTGGCTGACAGTGATTGGCTAATCCATTAGCTTACTATCCGATTGATTTATCAATTGACGGGCTGATTCATAGAATGATTGACTGACTGACAGTAACTGATCAATCAATTCTCAGTGTCTGATTGATTGACTTACTGACAAGCTGATTGATAGAATTGTTAGAAGTGATTCGTCAAGCATTAGCCTTGATTGACAGACTGATTGATTAAATGATTGACCACATGCGAGTGATTGGTCAATTCATAGTCTTATAGTCTGATTGATTTAATGATTGACAGGCTGATTCAAAGAATAATTAACTGACTGACAGTAATTGTTCAATCAATTCTCATAGTGTCCGATTGATTGACTTACTGACAAGCTGATTGATAGAATTGTTAACAGTGATTAATTGAATGATGGATCAACTGCGAATGATTGGTCAATTCATAGTCCTATAGTCTGATTGATTAAATGATTGACAGAATGATTGATAGTACTAATTTAATGATTATCAGACTGATTTGTGTAATGATTGACGGACAGTCATATCAAATAAGCATAATGAAATGTCATTTATTTACCTATCCAACTTATTATTTCAACCGCTTTGTTCGGATAAGATAGACACATATAAGATATATTTTCGGCATTGAATGCTCCACCCAGCTAAAGACCCTGTCCAAGCAAGGGTATTTCAAATGAATTACTAATGGCATGTTGGAAATGTTAAAATATCGAAATACTGAAATCTGTGCCTTTAACAAAATGAGTTATTCATTATGGAGTTTATTCATTTGGGAGCGAGCCAGCGCACGCTGTCGACGAAATATTAAATAATGAAATATTAAAATCAATGTGGATGTACAAGAGCCAAAGGAAAGGGAAAGGCGTGTGGGAAAGTGGGGGCGTGGCCCAGTCCATAACAAACGACGAGGTGTTCATGTGAATAAATTGCAATTAACAATATTATTTTTTATTTCAACAAACGAAACGCGGAAACGCGAAGGACTCGCACATAAAAAATCGCTCTCATTTAATTAAAGGCAAATTTAATGGGTAAATATTTCATGTGGTCTATGCACACAATAAAAAAGAAATATATATATATATATATGCCGCTTAAATGTTGGTATAATTTTTATTTTAAAAACAAAAACTTTGGCGCTGTATGCCATGTAAATAGGATGTAAAGAATACGCGGCACCATGTGCCGGCAGGACGCGTCATATATTTAATTTCCTGTTGATAGAGTAGAAAAAAAAAAAGGAAGGGAATGCATGGGGAAAAATAATAAAATGCGAAGCGTGCACTACAAAAACAAAAGAAATAAAAATAGTGCAAAGAAATCAAAATTAATAGACTGCAAATATTTGTAGATTTTTACACGAGCTATTAACAAGGCGCAAACACAAAAATTACGGCCCCAGAAATTGAGGCTAGCCCGAAATATACGAAACACGAAACTCGAAACTCGAGATGTCAACGACAGGAACAATGAAAGAGAGAGAGAAAAAAAAACCTAGAAAAACAGATAAACACAAAAACAGAGCACCGAAAACAGACGACCTATGCAAATAGTCTGCGCTAGTGAGAGGGACGGAGCATACAAAATGGCGACGGCAACGAAATCAAACATGGTGTGGAAAATGAGTGGGGAGGGGGGTGGGTGGGGGCACTAGATAAATTTGAATTTTGGTCACCTGACATAAACTCTGGCACTGGTCAAAGGGAAATAACAAGACAAAGATGTCAAAAAAAAAAAAAACATAGGACAACACACGACAAAAATGGTCAAGATGGCAGCTCCCAAAGCGGAAGGCATGACAGCAACAACAACAACAACAATGGCAAAAACTCTGGCACGACAAAGTCTTTGTTAAAATGGCCATTCAACTGTAAATTGCAAAATACAAAACATGCAGCAGAAGAAGAAGAAGCAGCAGGAGCAGCAGCAGAGAGCAGGCTGCAAGATGCTTGA